GGCTGACGTTTTGGGCCTAGACCCTTCTTCATTTTCTGAAGAAGGGTTTAGGCCCGAAACGTCAGCCTTCCTGCTCCTCTGATGCTGCTTGGCCTGCTGTGTTCATCCAGCTCTACACCTTGTTATCTCAGGTTCTCCAGCATCTGCAGTTCCTACTATCTCTGACCTAATTCTGTATGCCCACCTTTGACCCATACCTCTTAATTCCTTTGATATCAATCTCATTTTTAAATTTGACAATTTGTCAATTGTCATTTGCAGAAGATATTTGTTTAAAATTCAATCATGGGATGTGGGCGCACTAGCTAGGCCAGCATTAGTGCCCATCCCCAATCGTCCTCAAAAAGGTGGTAGTGAGCTGCCAGTTTTTGAACTGCAATCCTTAGGGTGTGGTACACCCATACTGCATTTAGGGAGGGAATTCCAGGATTTTGGCCCAGCAAGAGGGAAGGCATGGCATGTGTATCCATGTGTGTAGTTCCAAGTCAGGAGGGTGTGTGGTTCGGAGGAAAACTTGCACATGATGATGTTCCCATTTACCTGCTGCCCTTGTCCTTCCAGTTGGTAGAGCTTGTAGACTTGGAAGGTATGTATACAGTTTGCTTCATACTAATTCTGGATGTCAGATCGGAAGGAGGATAGTACTGACTGTTTACTAACTCAAGTGTAGTCAAATTTCTTTGGTTTGCTTAAAATTATGGAATCTTGAGGGTTTATCCTCTTAGTGAGTAATTGCAATTTCTAATTTTGACTATGTCAAAACAAAGATTACTGGTCACTAACTGGATCATAACAAAATTTGTGGGTTTCATCTGGACAAGTAACAAAATTTGAAAGTCTAGACTGGAATTGTAATAACATCTTTATGCAATAACAATAATTCCAGGTGAAAATGATCAAAACAAGAAATGTTACACAACATGCAACCCTGGTTCACTGTCCCAATTGAATATCCAATTTGAAAATCCAGACACCTAAAAATAAAGGACATCAGATACAAATCCTTTGACTTTCTCTCACTTACAGGTTTTACAGCAACTTCAACACCAATCCAATCCTATAAGCTAAAGCTTGCACTTAATGTGACAAAATCTTACACCAGCCCATGTTACAATCTTACAACCCCAATCACGTTACAATTCTATGATGTCCTGAAACACCAGCTTCTATTACCGTTATATATGAGCTGTTGGCGCCAGCCTGACTCCTAGATTAACATCTTCCTCAGCAGTCAAACATATTGTGTATACTTCAAAGACCAGGAAACTAGTTGTTGGGAGGGATGGCAGAGGTGACGAGTGGAATTGTATCAGGGAGGGATGATACAGATGCCAGCTCATTGGAAGGTAGGGTTACAAGTTCCTTCTGAACGACACATGGTATAGAACATTCATATGAAAATCCCAAACCTAGAAGGATACAGGCAGCAGATGGGAACACCACCATTAGCAAATTGCCCTCCAAGACACACACTATCTCAACTTGGAACCACATTGTTACTCCTTCTCTGTTCCTGGTTCAAAATTCTGAAATTTGCTTCCTAACATTACTCTGAGTGTACCAACATCACATGCACTGCAGCAGTTCAATAAATGGATCACCAACACCTTAAAGGTAACCAAGGATGGGCAATAAATACTAGCTTAGCCAGAGATACCCACATACTGTGAAAGAAATTTAAAAATACAAATGATTGTGCATTAGTAAACCTGCACAGAACAAGAAAGGAATATGGAAGAGTCCAGTAGCAACATGGCAGAGGGCTTTGTGTATAGCTTGGAACCTACCTTTTCCAATATGGAACAGATGGTTACCTCCACCAGCACAACTGTGGAACCCAGCCTGATAAAGTATCTGATAGCTGACATCACACATTCCATTGCAGCATGAAGAGTTTTAATCAAAGACCTAAGCTCTGCATTGTGCAGGCTGCTACCAATATAGCTCTGGATACCAATGGTGAAAGGGGCTTTGATGGTATCACAACAGTCCCATCGATCCATTTGTCAACAGGTCAGTAAGGT